TGCTTACTCTGAATAGCAAGGATAGTCCATGAAATGTTGGATACAGCCTGTTGGTGAAAGAAAGTAATAATCGCTTGATTTTATTAAGTCACAAGTCACGTGTGTTGACTTGAAAATAAGTCTCTTTTTTTTCTAACAGACATCATATGCTGTAAACAATACTACTACTACTATTACTACTACTAATAATAATTATAATAGTAATAATCTATATATACCATACGCCATATATATATATATATATATATATATATATATATATATATATTATTCTGTGTAACAATTAAGGGGCAGCGTTCAAATTAACGATGATCCACCCGTTGACGTGTACTGATATCATTATTGAAGAGGCTTCGTATATATAATACGCCACACATATCTTCAAGAATGCTTTGTTCATCTTTAGAAATTCATTTTAAACTTTAAATACAGTGTGGGGGTGGGAACAATTCTTGTAATAACTCATTAGTCATTGAAAGAGATTTTTTTTCTTCACACTACATCCTTCATTTTTATTATTTATGATAGCTATTAAAAACTTATACAATTAAATAGTTTTAATGCAGTTTTTATGTTACGATTCGGAACATATCTTGTGGGATTTGATAACAGCTTGAGAAAAAAAAAAAAAAAAAAAATAAGCGATGATACGTTGCTCTTAGTAGGACGAGAAATAAGCAGGTTCTGAAATTACAGATTGATTTTACGGACTGACAAGGATTACTCAGACCTTCCAAAGTTTATATGAAAAATATTGTCCTTTGGGAACTTTTTCAGTAAACATAATTTTGGTTGTAAACATGTAACATTTACGAGGATAAAATACGGATATCTTTATTTATAAATGGTACACTGTTCAATTATTAACGTTAACAATGAACTATTTTAAATTACAAAATTGTACATGGATTAAACGAAAATTACAATGTAATATATATTACTTATAATACATTCCTTCTTGGCGGCAATTTTGAGGGCACGGGTACAGGACGTTCAGGCTACTATTGTCCCAGTTGGCATTGGGGCGTTGTATTGAACACCAACGAACTTTAGAGAGCCTAGTTCCAATTCCAGTCGGGTTCGTTTATATTCATGCACAAATAGCCTTGGGAAAAGTATGGATCCATTTTTCTACCCCAGATATGAATTAAGCAGTAATATTTGTATCAGTAAATCATTATTTGAAAAAAAATTCTCACGATCTAAAAAATCAAAAAGAATAATTGGCTTTAAATAACCTGCAAAAGATTGACAACCAGTAAGATACAAATCAATCAATCAACCACCGAAGTTCTACATAATGAAAAACGGAATAAAGCCCAGCTTCAGATGCCTGCGATGTTTGGCACTGCAAGTATTCTGCGAAAGGTGCAATCTTTCTGAGGTTGTACGACTTGATGGTGGGGTGACCTCATATTGCAAGATCTCCGGTTGAAAACTAAAGACCATGCGAAAGAGAAAAAAAATATATAACAATATCATTCTTATACACGTTACGCAACTGCTGTGTCTTTTTATAGTTTAGCATGCCATTCCTTTCTACTTCGTTCATTCTCTTTTCAATCCATAAAACTCAAAGCCGTATCCACGACTTGTTAACCAATTGGTTAATGCATCATGTGACTAGGATTTCCTTACTTGCTCTCCCAATAAAATGATTCTTTTACACATTTCGATCAGCATATCGTAAGTAACTACCATAATGTCCAGTGCTCCTCTACGGCCTGGGTGATTATGGCTCCCTAGAAATCCCTATCTTTAAGAGCTCTCAGCAATGCTTGTCATTATTATTATTATTATTATTATTATTATTATTATTATTATTTGTAACTAGATATCTCAATTTCTGCCAATTTACTTTTTATTTTTCCCTGTTCACAATCTTCGCCTACTTGTGTCTGGGTTCTATAGCCTTGGATGGCAACTGTTCTAGGAGAAGGACAACTGAATTCAAAACCCGCAGAGTGTCGTTTTGGGACCTTATGGCACGTAATGCACCAGGTCTCTGTATTCGACCCTTTAAAAGTGTGGATGGTCCTGCACGAAACCTCAAATCTCATGTGCTGTTGTCGGGCTGTCGATTTCCTGCGAACTGATCTGCTTGACCCTCATACGTCGAATTCGACGGCAGAGTTGAGTATATATACATATGTTTGTGTATGTGTGTAAAGAATTAATGGATTTATTTTTAATAAGCCATTTTATTACTTCAAACCTTATTATAGTGGATATATATATATATATATATATATATATATATATATATATATATATATATATATATATATATGAGGAAATATAATTTTAAGGTGTGCTATATTTATGGGATAAAGTGCTCAATATCAATACTATATTCCATTGTCTCTGTTCTACCGTCCATTTGCACAAACACGTTGGTTACTTGCTGCTCATTCAGTACGTCCTGTGAGTATCAATTTTTCCTGGCCTTCTTTCTACACAATGTGTTCTACAAATTTCAACAGTCTTTTTCTTATTGTAATTAAAATTAGCCTTTTTTGTTTCCATTCTCCTTAAACCTTTCTCGTTTCACACATGGTCGGTCTCTGATATTCCTAGTATCTTTCTGTAGAACCACTTTTCGGTTGCCTCATGTCTCTTCTTCATCAGTGAGAAAAATGTCCAGAATTCACTGTCATAAAGGATGTTTCAATAACTTGGACCGATTTTATGTGTGAATTAATTTTAAGCGTCTCATGATTTTTTTTCTTTTTATTTCACATTTAACAACTTAAGTCTTTGGCAATTTCAACCATGGAAAGATTAACAATCAAACAACGTGTTAAAGTTATTGAAGCCTATTACGAAAATACACGTTCATACAGAATTTGAACGAGAACTTCCCAGGTCGCATTATCTCTTGAAACAGCGAAGTCAATTGGCCACGACGATCGTGCGTCTTGACGCCTTTAGATTTCTTCTTTTGGGACCATCTCAAAAGTAAGGTCTATACCAACAACAATTCAACAGCTGAAGGATGAGATAATAACGCATATTAGTGAGATCGAAGAGCAAATATAAAGAGACGTCATCAAAAATTTTGACCATCCTGTGGAGGTGTGCCGCCGAAGCCTTGGCGGACGGTTAGGTGATATTAATTTCCATGACTTGAAGAACATGATCCAATAGAGAAATAAATTTTAACCATTAAAACTGTTTTATTTACTACTGACTTTGATCCGTTTTAATGAAACACCCTTTATAAGAGGATTGATATTACATAACAGTTTAGCACATTTTTCTTTGTTTCTAACAAAATGTTCCTGATTCTCAATGCATCTTTAGCTTTTGGAAGGCGTCTCTCACTATTCCAATGCACCTTTTTCAGTCACATTTTCCGGGAGGCACAGTGGAGTAATGGATAGCGGCTCGGATTGAGAAATCGGAGAGCCAGGTTAGAATTCCAGTCAAATCCATTACATTCACTTACGTACAAACTTCTTTGGGAAAGGTATGAATCCGCTTCTCACCTCACCCCCAAGTATGGGTAAATAGCAGGACAGACCAGATTCTATAGCCTTGGAGATTTAATGTTATCAATCAAATAATATAAAAAGAAATTTTTTTCAAAACAGTAAATCAAACTTCTTCAAGAAAGTCAGAATTTTTGCCAAAATATAAAACTATAAAGTTCAAATATATATATATATATATATATATATATATATATATATATATATCGAGTTTTCCTCTGTACCGTTCCCTCTTTTTTAAATTTATTCACCGTTCCTTGACTAACTTATATATATATATATATATATATATATATATATATATATATATATATATATATATATATATATATATATATATATATATATATATATATATATATATATATATATATATATATATAGTACTTATAACTTTATTCCTTTATAGAAAAGGAAATAGTAAATATGTAATAAATTTTTGGATGAATATTGGTTGTATTAAGACAGCCAGATTACTGAGTTTTGCATCTCAAGTCTTGTACCTTTACCATTGTTAGCAAAATAGTAAATGCGTATAAAATGTATAATCAGAAATTGGCCAAATAAAAAGATAATTGGTTTGGTTTGTTTTACGGCATATCAACCCCGATGGGTTATTTAATATCGACAAGATTTTTTTTTATTCCTGATAATGTTTTTCAAAAAGTATTGCTGGTAATAATTTTTTCTTCAAAAATTTATTACTGGTAGTATTTTCAAAAATGTATTACTGTAATTAAACCCTATTTTTACACGTTTTGATCTCAGTTTGAAGTGGGTTAACTATTTGCTCATAGATGGAACCCTAACGGGTGCTACTACATCGGGTCCATGTAGACTTGGGAACACCAGAAATCAAGAGGTGGTTCCACGCTCCTCAAATCCGCCTAATCAGAGGACTTACTGTTGGATGTAGTTTATAGTCTTACCCAGGATGCAAAAGGTGATTGGATTACGGAGTGTATTATTACAAGATTTGTAATTTTGCTAGCCAAATAGTAAATTTCTACTACATGTATGATCCAATATTGTTCGGATTAAGAGATAAACGGATATATTTGTAAGGTAAAAGTGCTCAATATCGGTGACAGAGCCAATGTAATATAAAAAATTTGGAGAGAGTAATTAAGTAATAGTTCCTGACTAGCAATTTCACACCTTATCTTCAATCAGACGGTGTTTATATTATATTGACCTTGTGTCAGTTCTGCTTAAGTGTAGGAATATCAAGACCTCACCTTCTACATCCCAATATTCTATCCTGTAGCTTGTAACCATTAATGTTATTTTATATCTCTTGTTCTTAAAAATATGAAAGGAAAAGAAAAGAAAAAAAAATTCATATAGTAACGATAGAATTCTTTCTTTCTCTCTTTTCCCCCTTCTTCTCGCTCGCATCACCGTGTCGCGTCATCACACCTTGCCTCTTGCCTTTGATAATTAATAATCGATGAGAGATCGATCGTTGATAATCTGATCAGGAAAATTACCGGGACTTAGCCAGAAATAATGAGACAACCGTATTCTTACGTCGTGCGTGGTGGGAGACGGGCGAGGCAAGCGAAGTGTAGCGTAGGTGTTATATTCGAGGTTTGAGAGAAAAGTTGCAATAGTGTCTGACTCATTCGGGTTCATGCGAAAATAGATTGCGCGTGTGAACAGGATATATATATATATATATATATATATATATATATATATATATATATATATACGGAAGAAATAATGAAAGAAAGAACGAGGTAGAGGAAGAGTGAGCTGGGTGCATGGGTAATAGTGTGCAATAGTGATTATGTGTGAGATTTGGAATGTGGCGTCAAACCTCTTTCTTGGCTTTTTGTATTTATCAACTACCCACACACTACTTGACGAAGTTTCGCCCATCCCCCGACTAACCAAGTCAAGCTCGTAATCCCATATGTCGATTTGATAGTGCCGTGATAATTGAAAAAAACACACTTGTTTCATGTTCTAATTAGACTCCAGGATCACGAAAATCAAAACTGAATAGCTAACTGTTAATTCTATCTATCTATCTATCTATCTATCTATCTATGTCTTTTCATATCTGGGTATCTTTCTATTTATCTACCAACTATTTCTTACTTATATGTTTTATATCTATCTATCTATCTATCTATCTATCTATCTATCTATCTATCTATCTATCTATGTCTTTTCATATCTATCCTATCTATCTTCTATTTATCTACCAACTATTTCTTACTTATATGTTTTATATCTATCTATCTATCTATCTATCTATCTATCTATCTATCTATCTATCTATCTATCTTTTCATATCTACCAACTATCTTTCTATTTATCTACCAACTATTTCTATCTATGTTATATGTTTTATATCTATCTATCTATCTATCTATCTATCTATCTATCTATCTATCTATGTCTTTTCATATCTGGGTATCTTTCTATTTATCTTTTACCAACTATTTCTTCTATTTATATGTTTTATATCTATCTATCTATCTATCTATCTATCTATCTATGTCTTTCATATCTGGGTATCTTTCTATTTATCTACCAACTATTTTTATTTATATGTTTTATATCTATCTATCTATCTATCTATCTATCTATCTATCTATCTATCTATGTCTTTTCATATCTGGGTATCTTTCTATTTATCTACCAACTATTTCTTACTTATATGTTTTATATCTATCTATCTATCTATCTATCTATCTATCTATGTCTTTTCATATCTGGGTATCTTTCTATTTATCTACCAACTATTTCTTACTTATATGTTTTATATCTATCTATCTATCTATCTATCTATCTATCTATCTATCTATCTATCTATCTATGTCTTTTCATATCTGGGTATCTTTCTATTTATCTACCAACTATTTCTTACTTATATGTTTTATATCTATCTATCTATCTATCTATCTATCTATCTATCTATCTATCTATGTCTTTTCATATCTGGGTATCTTTCTATTTATCTACCAACTATTTCTTACTTATATGTTTTATATCTATCTATCTATCTATCTATCTATCTATCTATCTATCTATCTATCTATGTCTTTTCATATCTGGGTATCTTTCTATTTATCTACCAACTATTTCTTACTTATATGTTTTATATCTATCTATCTATCTATCTATCTATCTATCTATCTATCTATCTATCTATCTATCTATGTCTTTTCATATCTGGGTATCTTTCTATTTATCTACCAACTATTTCTTACTTATATGTTTTATATCTATCTATCTATCTATCTATCTATCTATCTATCTATCTATCTATCTATCTATCTATCTATGTCTTTTCATATCTGGGTATCTTTCTATTTATCTACCAACTATTTCTTACTTATATCTATCTATCTATCTATCTATCTATCTATCTATCTATCTATCTATCTATGTCTTTTCATATCTGGGTATCTTTCTATTTATCTACCAACTATTTCTTACTTATATGTTTTATATCTATCTATCTATCTATCTATCTATCTATCTATCTATCTATCTATCTATGTCTCTTCATGTCTCCCATCTTCTTAAATCTCAGCTAACCCCTAATGTAGCCAATTCCTTACAAT